AGGAAGTCTAGGAAAATTAACTCTATAATACTACGCCTACGACTATAATAGTTTATAAAGACCTATCCGTTACCGTGACGGGACTAAGAGCCTACCTAACCTAAGGGGTAGCGCGTTATTATACGACGATACTATTAAGATTATAATAAGAATAAGGGGTATCCCTTTCTATTAACTAAGCTAGAGCGCTATTATACTATGCGATCCTAGATTTAGGATTATTAATCAATATCTTTAATAATCGACGCCGTTTTATAGCCGTTAGACTACCCACGGATACCTTATTATCCTTTTAGGTAGGTACTTATAAGGCTTTTATCCTCGGATATAAAGACGTTAAGCTATATATATAATTCTTATCGGGCACGAAAAGGCTACTACGCCTTTATAACGTCGTATACTATAAGGAATTTATTACTAATATCGTCTCGGAATACTAGCTACGCCTATAAGGCTACCGCTAGGATACTGTAAATAACACTAGTATTAGCTCTGCTAATAACCGGCCTATCTATAAGCTACTAGATATCTACGGCTAGTATATAAACGAGCGCGCGGAAGCTATAGCCGCTACCGCGTTCGCGGTCTCGGTAAGGCACCCCCGCGATAACCCGTATAGAAGATTACGATAACCGTGGTAACCGTAGAAGATTATAGCGTAGCGGTGGTATAAACGCCTCGGCTATTACGGTACCGATATACTTATAAGGATCGTTAACGCTACTTAGGGGGTAAAGATAAAGGGACCTTATATAACGGACTATAACGCGTATAGGTAATCATAAGTGCCTACGTAGATCCGGCGGATAGTATCTCTTTACCCGTTAAAGCCCGGAGAGGCCTTAGCTATTAATTTTCATGATCTAGAAGAGTCGGAATCGCTAGGCGGCCTATATAAGTCTATTATACTTATTGTAGACGTGTATATAGTTTATACATGGGATTACTACCTATAGAAAACAGACTAAGGATTTATTCTATACGTATTAAAAGACGTTGTTACCCTGCTTAAGACCTAATTCGACGTTAAGCCATGTATCCTATAGGCCGATTCTAAGATATTTTAATACCTAGAAGTTATTACCTTCCTCGCTGCTAAGGGGGTAGAAGGCTAGCTATCGGTACTATATTTATAGGATTAAAACGGCGTTATAGAACGGACTAAAGGTATTATTAGAAGGAGGGCGAGGGCTATAAGAATTAGGGCTCATCTACCTATATCTATCTAGCCTAAGATCTTTAAGACTGCTATATATCTGTATAATAGAGCACTATAATATATTAACGACTAGCGAACGCTATATAAAGACCTACGCGGCCGTTAACCTAACCTTATGTACCTATAAGCTTACGGCTATAAAGCCTTTATAAAAATATAGGATACCTAAGCTAAAAGGAACCGCCTATAAAGACTAGAACCGAAGGTATAGATCGGTTATTATATCGGATACTAATCCTCGAATAGCTTCCGTATTTAGCTACTATACCTAACGGATATTATCACTATAAGAGACGTGGTCTTTAACGAAGATAAGATATTTAATAGCAGGATTAAAACGCTATAAGCTATAGCTTCCGCTAAGGAAATCGGGGAATGCCTATAATCTATCCGTATTACTTAATCTAATAAGACCGTAAATAGGCTACTATTAAGGGGTATAGCTGTAGACGTATTAGATCTTAAGTCGGAAGACTCTAACACTACCGCTATTACAACGGATAAAGGCGAGGCTACTACTATTACTACGGGAGAGGCTATTACTATTATTATAGACTATAGCACCGCTATTACCATAGACACTACTATTACTATAGAAGAAGACTATACTACCGTTATTACTACGGGCGAAGGCGATAACACCGCTATTACCACGGGCGAGGAAGAGGCCACCGCTATTACTACGGATACTCTACGTTTTACTACTACGAGGTTTAAGCCGTTTCCCACGCCTCTAATATCCCTGGAAGATTCTGCGCGCGCGTTCCTTATAGCGTTAGCGGTGGTTAAGGGCGTTAAGGTAGAAACAGACGATAACCACTAATAGGTAGCCGCGGATACCCTTAGGGGGTGCCTATTAGCCGTACGCCTATCGGCCGCGCGCCTATTACCCGCGCGTCTATCTATTGTAAGCCTCTACACAATAAAGAAGGTATAGAATGATAACGCCTAGAAGGCGTTCTTTAACGCTAGAAGGACTTATAACCCTATACGTGCGAGGAAGTAAGCTATTAATGATAGCGATATCGGTGCTATAGATCCCTCTCCCTTTAACGCCTCTTAGCCGCTATTATATATAACCCGCGAGGATCTCCCGCATCTACTAAACTATTACCGCGATATACGCCTTTACTCGTTACGGGAGCGGTAGTTATAGGCTAAGGGGGAATACCTTAAGGGCTACCGATAGATAGGCTATTAGTAGGAGGTCTACGGTAATTAGGCTAATAAGTAATAAGTCCTCGCCTATAGATAGGTATATACCTATAAATTTAATAAGTGGGGCACCCTCCTCAAGTATAAGGCACGCCTTATAGTATAAGGGGACTAATAAAAACGATTAAAGACTAAAGATAACTACGCCGCTATATTAGCCTCGCGGTCCTTTCGTATACTAATAGCTATCGCCGCTCGATTTAATCTAGAAATAAGGTAGTTTAACGCTCTTAACGCGTTCGTTAATACTAGCCTTAAAGAAGAGGTGTTTATAAAGATACTATAAGGCTACGAAGTACTATATAAGGTCCTACTACTATGGAAAGCCCTCTTCGGCTTAAGGGTATCGCCACTACTATAGTAAAAGGAATTTAGCGGCACGCTATAGAAAATAGAATTCACGGCTATATCTAATAACCCCTATATTATAATCCGCGATAGTTTAATCCTATTCTTCTACGTTAACGATATCGGACTTATCTACTATAGAAACTGTAAGACTAACGCCGATAACCTCGAGGCCGCCCTTAAGCGAAGCTATAGACTATTAGGAGGCGAAGAAATCCGTTAGTTCCTAGGAATTAAGGTCCTAAGAGATAAAGCCACCTGTAGGTTATAGCTATTATAGTCCTCCTATATAGAGAAGATCGCGGTTAAATACTACGTAGATATCCTTTGCCGAAGACCACTAAAGGTCGTATTATTAATAATAGAACCACTAATACTATATAATGGCACGCGCGCGATGATTCCCGAGGTCCGTTAGTATTAGGGTATAATCGGTTCTATCCTATACGCGGCTATCGTAATAAGACCCGATATCGCGTTCGCCTATTCAAAGCTTTCCTAATATAACGTTAGCCCCTCCTCTAACCACCTTAAGAGGGCTTAATAACTACTACTATTCCTATACTATATAAGGCACCACTACCTGGAATTTAGCGGAGATAGACTCTTCCTAACCGTAAACGACGCGTCCTTTAGGGATAACCTAGACCGTAAGAGTTTATAAGGATATACGATCAAGCTCTTCGGCGGCACTATTAACTAGAAGGCGGGTAAATAACCGATAGTCACGACGTCGTTAATAGAATTAGAATTACTCGCTCTTATAGAGGCCGTTAAAGAGACGTTATGTGTTAGCCAGATATTAAGGGATTTAGAGCTCCGGTTAGACTAATAGTAATTATAGCTATACTACGATTATTAGCAGACTATTAACCTCGTTAATAAGAAGGCATAACGCCTGCGAATAAGGCTACGGCACGTCGATATTTATAACCAGTAAGTATATTAGTCAGTATAGCAAGGCCTCTTTAAGGTTATATACGTTAACACGAAGGAGATAATCGCGGACGGTTTAACGAAGGCACTACCGGAGGCAGGGATTAAAAGATTATAGTAATAGCTTAATTTAACTAATTAAAAGGATCGTATTAAGTGGTCTAAATAATTACACGAAGAGATTACACGCGCTAAAGCTATGGCCGTAGCGATTACGAAGGCCCCCGAGGGCGTAGCAGATCCGATAGATATAGATCCGATTAAGTAGATCCTGCTAATCAGGATCGAGGAACTAATTAAGATAGAATTAAATTGAATGGTTAAATAGGGCGGATTTAGATCCCTTTTATAAGGGCCTTTTCCCCTAGCGGTTAATTCTTTAATAGAAAAGTTAAAAACGTTTAGTTTACACCGAAGCCTCTGATTAGTCAGTTAACCTGGAAAGACCCACCTTAACTAAGGGGGTGTATTATATAGGCACACGGACTATAACGTAGTCTATAAGGGATCTAGGGGGGATCCACGCTATAACTAAGGGCTTCGTATATCGGAGACCTCGGGTATTAGGATATAACAGGGGCGGATACCGTAAAAGACCGGATAGAATCCAAATAATATAGTATCCATAACAGAGTCTTTACTACCTAAATTAAGAGCACGAGAGACTTATACAGATATAACTTAATATAATACATATATACGAGATTTCTACTCTACTAAGTTAATCATCCAAGTGCCTTTTGACGTGCGATAGAGAGTCTCTTATGCTCTTAATTTAGGCGGTGAAGACTCTGTTATGGGTACTAAGTCATTTGGATCCTATCCGGTCTTTTCCGGTATCCGCCCCTGTTATATCCTAATACCCGAGGTCCCCGATATCCGAAGCCCTTAGTTATAGCGTGGATCCCCCCTGGATCCCCTATGGACCACGTTGTGGTCCGTGTGCCCATGCGACAGGCCTGCGCTTCTCTGCTCTGCTCTGCGTCTCTGTTTCGAGTATCCGTACGTATAATAATACTTGGTTTTTGATATACCTAGGCGAGCGATGAACGATGTTGCATCACTGCAATCCCTCCGCGCCATCCACCCCCTCCGTACCAGAAACACCAAAAGTTTGGTGCTTCCGTTTGACATGTGTTCGGTCAATCGAGAACCACTCTTACGCCCGCAAGATGATATCAAACCTTATCAAGGTGCACTGCTGCAGCTAGCCCGGGCGGGTCAGCGCAGTCTCTCTCGCGGTCGGGCGTCCCAACCCCGCTCATACCACGAGGGAAAAGGGGTGCTAGTCATGACGATCGATGATCCATTGATCAATTATCACAGTTCTTAAGAAAAAACAAATCATTGAACCGTGGGCATCGACTTGAGAAGCCTCTCCAGAACATCCACACACGCTAATTATCCTGCTTGTTCCCTCCTATCCCGTGGAAATGTCCCTTAAGATCCCCGGATTCCGTGGCTTGACTTCGCTTTGATGCCGCTCATGACGGAGGGAAAAGGGTGGACGAGGGTGGACACATGCTACGCTTCTACGCCGATCATGATGTCGCCTAACCAACGGCAACATGGAAAGGAATGAAAAGAGTGTGGTCGTGAGAGTGCCGGGGATCCCAAGTGCCCTTTCCGCCTCTCCTTGTCACGTGCGTCTCCGTGACAATCTTCCCTTTTTCTAGATAGTTCCGCTGTCTGCGTTTCCATTGTCTTGCATCGACCATCCCCCCTACCCCTATCATGATATTGACGCGCACTTGACATCAAAAGTGGCGTTTGGTTGCAGTGAGTTGAGTTCAGGGCCTCCAACTTGTCGATGGTCATGTTGGGTGGTGTCAGATGGAGGCTCCAGGATATCGGGGTGTGACTTACGCCATTTTGAGGGACGGATAAGGTACTTCCGACCGATATATCCATATCGATTTCCCCTCACTTTACCTTATAGTTAGATATTCCTATAGAGTACCTTTTACTCTTCTTAAATGCATATATATATCTTTTATATACCTTATTTATATACTAATACTTATAAGCCCGGTGCTCTAAAAACGACCCTATTTCGGTAGATTTAATAGTATTACTATTTCGACGCCTATTATAATTTAGGGTTATTTAACGGTAATATCCGTCTACTCTACGATTATTATTATTCTATTATTCTATTTATTACCTACCCTATACCATACCGTGCCGTGAAGCCTCTAAAGTCTATAATGGATATAAAGGAGTACCCTATATTAAAGATCCTTTAAAAGCCCGATAATTAGAAAGTATAGATTAATAGTATCCGAGTAATCACGACGTAGTACGAAGTATAGTAGTATATTAACCCCGAAGTTCCGGACTAAGAACGCCTAAAATTAGTATAATATACCTTACCCGAAAAGGACACTAATAATAAAGACTTTAACTTCGGTTTATTTTAAATTAAACAAAGCCGATATAATAAGGCGTTTAATTTAATCGCGCGGGTTTATAATTACATAATAGGTAGCGTTAACCGCGACCTCCACTATTAATTTAAGTTCTATATATATATTAGCGAGAGTATTTAAGCCGTAAAGGAATAGATTATACTATTAAATAAAGCGTAGAGGTACCTTATTAAGAAAAGGTAGGACGATTACCTATAAGTAATAAAAAGGATACTCTATAAGTAATAGATAAATAACTTTATTAAGCTATACTAACTTACGACTTAAACCTCTATAAGGGATATTAAAGACCTAGAGAGGTAGCGCCGTGATTTATTTTAAGTTATTCGGGGAATATTACCGAAATACGGAGACCCTACCTTTATTCGGATCCACGACCTCGAAGAAAAGGACCGTCTAACGCTTAAAGACTTAGCGAGGAAGTATATTAGTTAGTTAAGGGTTTAAGAGCCTAAACGCCTATAATTAAAGCCTACCTAAAGTAGCTTCTATACCGCGATATTTCTCGGAAAGGATAAAAAAGAGAAGACCCCGGGGGGCAGGGAGTCCCTTAAGGGGTGGATCGGTTTTATCTATAATTATATTAGGGCTAGAAGAAGCGATACCTATTATCAACCTTAGTATATAAACCCTAATATTAACGAGATATAAAGGAAGGATAGGTATAAACCGTTTACAGAAGTAGTTAAATACTATAAGAAGGTTATTAAGAGCTAGGAATAGGATCGTTAAACAAGCTTTAAAGCTAACCTAAAAAGAGAGGTGGAAAAGAAGAAGAAGACTATAAAGTAGTCTTTATACTTCGCTACCGCTGCTTAGGAAAAAGATAGCGACGATGACGATATCTATTTTCACGGTATGTACGACGATATAGCCGATGTTAGCTTCTTTAATAACCCTTTTATTCCCGTTATTCGTTAACTTATTTATTAACCTATTATGCTACGTGTTATAGAAGAAGCTAGCCCTCGCCCCAGGGGGGTAGGGGAAGACACCTCTATTATTATTATAGGAGCCGTTGTATTGTATAGGCACACGGACTATAACGTGGTCTCTAAGGGATCTATACCTAACTAAGGGCTTCGGATCTCGGGGACCTCGGGTATTAAGGATATAACGAGGGAGGATACCGGAAAAGACCGGATATGATCCAAATAATATAGTATCTATAACAGAGTCTTTACCACCTAAACTAAGGGCATAAGAGACTTACATAGATATACCTTAATATAATACACACACACGAAATTTCTGCTCTATTAAGTTAATTATGTAAGTGCTATTTTGATGTGCGACACGTTCCTCCTGCTACTATTACTTCGACCGTGTTATGAACTGACCCTATTAGCCAGGGTCCTCGCCTTACTAAGCCGGGACACCGTATAGACCTCTTACCGATTAGGCAGCTAACTTATAGCTACCCCTAGCAAGACAGACTTTCACCTTTTCCTTCTCCTTTCCTTAGTTCTAGATAATATAATTATTCGGCCTTACCTATTAGTTTAGACTTATAACTAGCCGTTTATATATCTAGAACTTTGTATTAACCTAACGCTATATAAGTATAGACTATAATACTAGCACTCCGCCTAGGGGCAGCGACTTTTAAGCTACCGCCTAATAATAGGCGGGATAGATAAACAGAAATTAAGAGGTGTAATAGATAATTACCGATACCGTACGGCCTCTCTAGGACTACCTAATATAATAGAACTTAGTATATTAAACCTACGAAGTATAGCTTAATTAGTAAACGCGAGCCTAGTAATAAGCGCTAGAATAATAAGTAGATAATTAGCGATAAACTTAGTAAGCCCTTGTAAAGACCTAAGATACACTTAGCTAGATACTCGCCTAGATACGGTCTTTATAAGAGAGCTAATGAAACTAATACCTCGCCCCTCCCTTATAAGGACCTTCTATACCGATAACCGCACTATAGATAACGCCCTTTAACACTACCGCTATACCCTCGCTATCTATAACCCTAGCATTAGCGATAACTGATAGGCTAACCCTAATTCTCCTATTAGAACCCCTCCGTATTATATAGACTCCGGTTAACCTAAATACCCTGCCCTTAAGCTAGTAGAAGCGGGTAAATAATATCAGATAAAGCGTAGTCGAAATCGTCACAAAAAAGGTCAAAATTGATTGAGTCAGTTATGTGTGTATTATAACTCTAACAGACGGTCAGAGAATTCCTGCCACCGTTCTATTAGTGGAGAAGATTCTACAGGTATCCACCCGGATTGTAAGCTCGGCAATCCGGCCCATTACATAACCGTAAATCCACGAACAGTCTATAGTCTATTCGATAAATAACCCTCCGATCTTTTCCGGAAAGAGAGCTAAATACGTAGGGTGGTCGCGGGCTATACGCAATAAGCTTAAGATCGACGGACTGCTATTCTATAGCTAGTAGGAGATATAGTTCCTAATCTATATAAGCTTAGGCCTAGGGCCCTAATAGGTAATCGCGACGTTATATAGTTCGGGAGGGTGTAGAGAGCTATAAAATTTTATAATAAAACGGATATTTACTAAGGAGTAAAGCGAATAGGCCGGGGAACTAGCTTAGTTCGACTTTATATTAGAGTATCGCTAAGGTAGTAATAACTACGCCGCTAACGCCTTATTATATTAGGAATAAAACGTACAAAAGGATTACAAGGATAAGCGAGAGTAAGGATAGTTTATATAATTAATCCCTAGTTCCGCCCTCCCATATATAAGGGCTATAGAGGTAGTAGTAAAAGCTGCTCCCGTTATAGAGCTAGCTCCTACCCGTGTATTTAAAGCCGATAATTAATTATAGCGCTTTTAGGATAAGACCGCCGCGAGTAATAACTAATATCAGAAAACTACTATAGCGGTTATAAAGGGAAAAAGAAGTTTTAACCCCTTCTTAAATCTAAATATATAGATTGTAGAGTGCGTTATCCTGCTAGGAGGTTAACTAACCTTCTAAGACCGGTATTAGGTTTTAGGGTTAGCGGAGGAGTCTATGCTATATAGACGTGTAGTATAAGCGATCTAGAACCCGGTGATTAGCGGTTACCTTAGCAGGGATAGTATAATTGCCTTTATAGCACGGAAATTCTTCTAGCCTAGTATAAATAAAGATATATAACGGTTTATGTGGAATTATAATATATATAAAAGAGGATATATCTAAAGAATCTCGAAGCGAGGCTTACTTAAGCCGTTACCGATCCCCGAGTATATTCGTAGCTACCTCTTTATAGACTTTATAACCGACTTATTACCTATAGGCGACTCCGGCGCTAAGTACCTCTAAGTTATTATTAATAGACTTACTAAGGCTATAACCCTTAAGGTAATAGATACGATAAATACTAAGGCCTACGTATAACGGTTCCTCGATTATTACTTCTGGTTTTATACTACACCCCTATTTATTATAAACGACTAAGGGTTAAACTAAATAAGTAGGTTCTAGTAATATTTCTATAAGCGAATAAAGATTAAATAGCGACTTAGTACCGCTTATTAACTATAAACGGATAAAGCGCCTAAATAGATAAACTAAGAAGTATAAGCCTACCGTAGAGCTTTCGTGTATTACTACTAAAAGGATTAAGGAAAGCTATTACTAGCCGTATACTTAGCGCTAAATAACCATAAGAGCTCGGCTATATTTTTCCTAGAGTATAGGCTCTACGTAGAACCGCTATAGGTATAGAAGCCTAAGCCGAAAGACGCCTAAGAATGCTCCGCCTATAACCTCCTAAGTAAGCTCTAATAAGCCGTAGAGTTTATATAGACAGCGATAGCCTTAAAATAACTACGGGATAAAGAATCCGCCAATAGACGACGAGCTCCTATAAAAAGGTTTAAAAAGGATAACTTAGTATAGCTAACGATATCGAATTATAGCATGCTATAACCCTTTAATAAGCTAAATTAGCTATACTAAAAATACCGGGTTACTAAGGTTATTAGACTATATATTATCGAACTCGATATACCCTTATAGATATACCCTCGCTTTTACGTTAATTTACTCCGCTAAGCTAATACTAACCCCTTACTAGGATAAAAGGTAGATAACCCCTAGCCCCTACTGATTAAAAACGGCTTAGATAGCGGTAAGGAGTAAAAGGTATAGGAGATCCTATATACTAGAACTAAACAGCGAGGTCGCGGAATACGATATAAAGTCCTAGTATAATAGATAGGCTATACTGAGCTAATATAGGGACTCCTTAATGCTATAGAAGAAACTAAAGCCCTAGACGACTTCGAAGCTAAGCACGGACCAGCCTAGTTAAATAACGGGCCGTTATAAGAATACACTACCCAGAGGAGAGTAATAAGCGAGGGGAGCGCGAGTTTATACTAATAATAAGGTTATATTAG